ACAGGAAGAAAAAGCAAAACAGAGTTAGAAGGGGGGACGTAACAAGTGATCCATTCAGCAGTCTGTAATAAGAGACCCGCACAGTACAGCACAATGGTGTGACTATAATATAATACGGTTCTCCTGTTGGCTAGGTTGAAGCATTATTGATTGCGCTATATATTACCTAACATTTCTCCACTTATACGTCGGCAGAAATTTTGTCACTTGTGACATAGAATCGGAAATCTGCCCATTTTTTGAACTTGTGACTGTTATCAATTTTATTGCCACGTCATACAGTTCTCCAAATGCTGTTTTCTGGAGAAAAAAAAAGTTTGTACACTCAAAATGCTGAAAGACACAATTAACAGACATTGCAGATTCTGTGCCACTTCATTGTGTGCATGTATTTTGTGTTAACTCATTCACTACTATCTGGTTTAGCCATATTCAGTATCTAATTAGATTTAGATGCTATAAGTAACATTTAAAAAAAATTTTTCTTCTAGTGCTATAAGTAACATTTAAAAAAAATGTTTCTTCTAGTGCTGACATCATCCAGCACCTTTCGAACCTTTGTGAACTGATAGTCTTGCTTAAGTGAAAGAGAAAACTGCAATATCCTAGACAAGTACTCTCAGCCCAAATTTGAAAGAAGTCCAATTTTTGTTACTTTGTTTTGGATAGAGCTGAGAAGGATTACAAACTCTTTCAGGTTTATTTCACTGTGTTCCGGAGATCTCCCTGTAGATAGGGCCATGTCACACTGGCCATCCTGTCACTGGCAAGAATGTGCCAGCGGCGACATTGCTTTGGAGGACACAGCTGGGAATGAAAGCATTCCCCTGCTTGCAAGTGTTGCTCCCTTGCTGACTTCAGGAGCAAGCTAGATTTTGCAGCATTTTTGGCAGGGAGGGAATGACACATACAAAGCAGGTGTGAGTCCTGGGTAGTGGGACATGGACCCTACTGTCTTGATGGCGATTGTCACAAGGACAGAAAGTAAGGAAAAATCCCACATTTGATAATTGTCAGTGGGCCAGGAGATGAGGTAAAACCTGTACTGAGGGGACACATCACACACTGGTAAAAGCAACATTTCCTATCACTCTTTGGAAGTTTTGTTACATCATGTCATATAAAGTTGGGCAGTGAGAGCATTGGACCACCCCTCCTCCCTATAGGTGGTTGCTTACTTCTTTCTGATGGTAGGGGGCCCCCTCCGATGTTTACATTCTTCGAGAAGAAATCTTCTCAGCTGACGACTATGCCTACGCAGTAACTCACCATAGACTTTTTATAAAGAGGATTGTACTCCTAGGATTTTTTGGGGAAGTTACGGCACAGTCATTGCTCACCCCATGGATGTAATCAACAGACGGATAGTTAATCACCTGGGTGGGGCTCTATCACAGTTTGCAGAGCTTTTTCCAACAAGTTTAATATAACTTGGGTGTTTAATCTCTGCAATACCCCGGTTAAATGACTTGCAAATAGTGGGTTGTGCATGGGCATGTACATGACAGTTGTAACAATGGGAAATGTTATATGGTGATGTCAGATATATATTCTGCTGCATCAGGCACCTAAATATTTATTTACACTGCTATTAGAATTTTGTAGTAATGATTCGCTGATTTATTTTTGGACAGCAGATGTTGGGTTGTGGTTTGGGTAGTTTGAAAATATAATGTAAATTACATCCCTTGTATCCAACACAAGGCTGTCTCCTTTGAATATGATGGGGTACTTTAGTTCCAATGTCCATTAATGGCCAAGCTTAAAGTCCATATGTTCAATATATTTTAGTTATACAGTAGACTAGGGCTGCAACTAACGAATTGATAATAATGGATAATGAGAATAGTTGTCAACTATTCTCATTATCGATTAGTTGGTTGGACCCCCTAGCTTTCTCCTCCATGCTGGGAGGAGGGCACAGCAAGCAAGGAGCAGGTGCAATAGCCAGATTAATTTTAAGGATGGTGTTTTATAAAAAAAAAAAATTTGATCCGATTCATTGAAAAAATAATCGGCAAGCTAATTGATTTATGAAAATAATAATTAGTCAGAGGAGACTTGCACACCAATGTGTTGGGAAGGAATGCACTCTAAAAATAAAGATGAAACCTGAATACAGCGTGTATATACTGTAAATACCAGTGTAAGCAAACTTGTGTTTAGTGATTAGCTCCCCCCGCACTGAAACGCATGCAAATTAAAATCCCATATATTTCTGTGGGGGCCATTCACGCAAATGCGCTGAATCGCACGGAAAAATACACCTGGTGTTTGAAATAGTTTCTGAACTACTTTTGTAGCACTTAACAGCCTGTTTTGCTCCCTAGACTTCAATGGAAATGTGTCGATCATTTTTTTTTTTTTTTTAGCGCGTTTTTGCAGCTGAGACTTATTTTCATTGTACAACTGAAAACGAGCTGAAAAAACTATTTCATATGAACAGAAAATGCCTGTAAAACGTTCTGAAATTCAGATAAAAAAACGTGCAGAAAACGCTGTCGCCCTGGCGTGAATGGGGTCTTAAGCTAGGCATTTATCTGTATGTACTGGCACACAAGCCATTTTAAATAAATATATACTTTGTAGCACTTTGTAGGACACTGCAATATCTATAAGATGGTTGGTTGAAAAGAAAGCTTTGGTTGCAGAGAAGGAAGCATTTAATGAGTTTTGAGTGTTCTATTTTACTGGGAGCCTTTTGAGCCACCAGGCCAATACAGTGGTTGCCGCCATTGTGTTTATTCAGCTACAAATGTGAACATTAAAGCCCAATTTATTTGGACAATGCGACATTTGTTTGCATGGGTGGTATAAGTAGAAAGTCTTTGAAGGATAAGTTATATAGTGTGGTTTCTTTTACCTCTAAACTGCATAAAATAACTGTGTTTAGTGATTTCTAAAGAGCTCAGTAGTTTTCCATGTAGGAGAATAAAAACTTGAAATATTGCATAATCAACATCTTATCTGACATGTGTTATTTCCATCAGAATCTGTTTTTGAGTGTACTTTGATAGGCTATATGTAAAATTGCTTACTGCATCCTGCTCATTTGTCTGGCCATACACTAGACATCACATGTGTGGGTAGTGATGGACCAATCTGAATAACTAAGATGAAGTGAATTCAGCAAGGAAATGTGGAGGCCCACATGCTGGAGAGCTTATTACAGACATATGAACACATATGGATGACAGACAAATTTGGGTATGCCAACATAAGTGACTGCATGATATAGAAAACATGAGTATTTTACAGGCCGACCAAAAATGTATGGTTTTCTTATGAACTAAAAACCTAATGATAGGATGAGTGTCCCATACCAACCACACAGATGTTCTTTTAGTTACGAATTTGAAAAGTAATTATGAATCTAGTGTCTGGAATCTAAATGGTTGTTCTGGGCAACACAGACAGCACCTCTAAAAAAAAAGTTGAAATATAATTAACCAAAGCTGCTATATTTTACTTTTTTTTTTTTTTTTACATTTCCACCCTAGTCTTCAGATACCCACTCAAGTGCAGGGGAAATTAATTTGATAGTAAACGGTCCTTGGACCTGTTGGGATATTGCAGTATTGAGGGGCAAGTGTTAAAATTATTTGTCAATTAACTAGAATTAAGTATCGTAAATCTGCACAAGGTGATATATATCTGTGTGTGTATATATATCTATATCTATATCTATATCTATATCTATATCTATATCTATATATCCTTGTTTATCTAGTGTTCTGTTCACTTTTGTACACGTGTACTCTTCCCTGAGTTGGCAATAGATTTCTTTTTTTGTGGAATCTAGAATATCCTTAAAGCAGGCTTCCCTTTAAGCCACCTGTAGTTCCATGCACATCAGCACTCATAATAGGAGAGAAAGGGGCAGTGCTCGGAGCTAGTCAGGTTTTGAAACTTTGCAGGGTGCTGTAAGTCTACCAGTATGACCATGCTTCTAGGAGAGGAGAGCAGAAGGATGATCGGGTCTTGGGCTGTTGTTGCCAAAGCACTCTAGTTTCAATTTGCTCCTGGATACCTGACATTAGGACTAGACCTGTTGCAACTGGCTCAGTCTTGTTCATATCATTTGCTAGAAGAGCCCCGTGCAAATGGACCCAGTGCTGGCGAAAACAATAGCTAGGTATTCTAACTTGCATTGCTGCTTTGTTAAATAAGAACGTACATTTAAGGGATGTTGTCCCTTCCCTATAGACATTGGATAGCGACCCAATGTAACCACAGAAGGCTGGACCAGGAGCCTGTCATCTAATGTAGTGTTGACTCTTATAACCGTACTTGCCTCCAAAGGACCTGTGGAATTCATAACCAGTAATGCATAGTAGGCGACTTATTTTGCTGACGTCCATGTATATTCTATTCTTAGCTACATACTTTAATTCATGCTAGTACAAGAAATACTTGCAGCATTCAACTTTTTGTTCTTTTTTAATAGTTAAACAATAATAATGCTCAGAGATGTAATTGCAAAATTTGTATGTTTCATTTTATATTTTGTGATAAATTAAGTAAAATTAGAATTCTCTCTACGTCACAGGGTAGACTGGAGGTGCCAATGCAATTAATGTTAATAGGTTTGAAAGATGGGAGTTGGCAGTATAATTAGCAGGTTTGTGCAGCGCCTACATCAGTGGTGGGTGAACACAATAGAAGGGCATGTGCAGAAATTAGTTAGGTCCCTACCTACACATTCATGCAGGTACTGTGCCCCCCACCCACTCTAGATCTTAGCAGAGGTGCATTGTCATTAGCTTCTCCCCATACAACATTTTAACCATCAAAACCCTAACATTTAATAACAAGATCTTAATTATTTTTTGTCCACCAGTCACCTATGCAAGCTAGCAATTAGCGCAACTATTCTAGTATTTCAGTCCTTGTTTTCTGAAACATGTCTATTTATTTTACCTTCAGATGAAGTGCACACATATCATTAGAGTTCTGTTTTACTAATGTGGGCATCTCTCATCACTTTTTTTTTTTTCCAGAACACTATAACTATGCATCTTCCAATATAAGTGCCAGCTTGTCACTGAGTGTGATGAATCCTTCATTATCAACTTCATGCCATGGTCCTCAATCATCAAACCCAGTCATTTCCATTATTCCATCAGCAAGCCATTCATCGGGATATGGAGGGAATCTTGAGACTGAAACCTCGGGATACTACTTATCTCCGAATATGAGACCTAATGGAGCACCATTAGAGAGCCCTAGAATTGAAATCACGTCATGTTTAGGGATGCATACTAGCAATAACCAGTTCTTTCATGAAGCAGATATGGAAGAATCAATCCCTAATGTTAAGCGAGGACATTCAACTGCAACACTGACCTTGCCAAATGTTGACAACTATCGAGATCCATCTTGCTTGAGTCCAGCAAGCAGTTTGTCTTCCAGAAGCTGCAATTCTGAAGCTTCCTCTTTTGAATCAAATTACTCTTATCCATATACTTCCCCTCAGACCTCTCCATGGCAGTCACCATGCGTCTCTCCCAAAACAACTGACATAGAAGAAGGCTATCAGAGAAGCATGGTCACCTGTAATTTGCTGAACTCTCCCAGGCATTCCCCATCTACTTCTCCCAGGACGAGCATTTCAGAAGAAAATTGGCTTGCAGCTCCAAACTCACGCCCAACATCTCCATGCAACAAAAGAAAATACAGCCTTAATGGCAGACAGACTTCTTACTCCCCTCATCACTCTCCGACTCCATCTCCTCACAATTCTCCCAGAGTTAGTGTGACTGATGAGACCTGGTTGGGAAACACTCACCAGTATACAAGTTCTGCAATTGTTGCAGCAATTAATGCTCTCACCACTGACCCAATAGACATGAATGATGACATTCCATCAAAAGCCAGAAAAACAGAGTACAGCATACCTCTAAAAACAGAGCCCATTTGTGATGAACATGGCACATTGTCACCATCTGCTGACTTGTCACCAGAAGAGTATTCTGGATTCCATCACATCAGGAAAGGCAATTTCTGTGATCAATATCTGTCGGTTCCACAGCATCCTTACCAATGGGCCAAACCAAAGAACATGTCCCCTACATCCTATTTGAGGTAAGACAGTAGAATAGCATTTGTAATGTAAGAAAAATAAATGTGCTTTTCTTCATATACAAACATGGGTTCCAGGATTTAGGAAACACTGATATATTGTAAAGAGAAAGATATAGTGCACACAGTTCTTTACTACATGGCTTGACAAACCTCAGAGGCTATTTTGTCAGTGGAACTAAGTTTTCACCGGGTGCCCACTCATTTTTGAGCCTTTCCACTAAAGCCATTTGATCCCTGATTCCTAAAAGCCACTGGCTTCTGGTTTGGATTGACTGGCTCCCGAATTGTTCTTAAAGTGACATTAAACTCAGGCGTTAAATCATAAAAATTCATTCAAGTACCCCAACTACTAACAAAAATGTATCTTATTTGTGTATAACTCAGCTGTAGGTCCTCAAATCATCTCTGAATTTGTGCTGACACTGTCCTTCCTTCTGGAGGGTGGCTACTTTTGTTCCCCATGGTCCCTGTGTGTGTTGTAAAGTAGCCACCGCTCCACGCTCTCTCCTGTGATGGACTATAATCTCCCATTTAGTTTACTAATTTATATTGAGATTGTAGTCCCATCAAGGGAGTGAGTCTGGAGCGGTGGCTACTTTACAACACAGGGACCATGGGAAACAAAAGTAGCCACCCTCCAGAGGGAAGGACAGCGTCAGAATAAATTGAGGGATTTGAGGATCTACAGCCGAGTGATACACAAATAAGATACATTTATGTTGATAAGGTACTTGAATATTGTTCTTGTGTCTATAGTGTATGCATAACCCAAAAACTTTTTTAGTAGGGAAGGGTTAAAGCCTCTGTCATATTTTTGCTGGCTGGTTCTAAGCCTTCCCTACTCTATCCAAAACAAAAATTTTTTTTGGCTGTACATAAATTTCTTCAAATATTGGCTACTATCTGTTTTTGTTCATATTTGCCCACTGTGTAGGATCCAAGTGGTTGTCTTGCATTATTATTTTTGTGTTTAAGGCACGGTTTGAGTTTCACCCACACAATTGCATCAACAACTGCACCAAGCACAAAACAGAAAAAAAAAAAGATGTAAAATCAGTCTTGGCAAAAAGTCCATCTTCCTCAGTCACAGATGTTAAAGGCTGCCTATTTAGACAGTGTTGAAAGTCACCATTTAATCAAGGCTGGAGCTACAGATCATGAAAAGCATGATGTATGAGGAACATATGAAACCGATAAAGACGTTGCATTCCTGAGTCAGAAAGAAGGCATACACATTCCATGAGTCCAAAAAATAATGTATCAAATGTTAGACAGGTTATTATCCTGTTTTGATAGAACCACTGAAGAAGCCCCCATTAGAAAGGAGGCTTTGCGGGCTTCAAAGGCCACCTTATTCCCCATGAGGATATTGTCTGCACATTTCCTATTAAATCACCATACACCATAAATCTTTATCAAGATGCGAAGGAGACCGGAAAGCACTGACTCAAGTTTGTTCCATTGTAGAGTTGAAGTGATTTGACTTGCAGGCTCCCTAGGCAGTGAGGGGGTTAAAATGTATGATTTTCATGAAGAGAAAGCGGAAGTTTTGTTGCATTGCTGTATATTCATATTGCTTAGGCAATGTCTCTTGCAGCATTGCATGCTCTTTCAGAAGCCAAAAGTTTCAATATTTACATTTGCTCTAATTCATCTTGCTGCTGAGAATTCATCATATCTGGGTCTCTGTGATTAATGCAAAAAAGGATCTTAAAGTGACACTAAACTCAGGCGTCAAATCTTAAAAATGCATTTAGGTACCCTGACTATTAATAAAAATATAGCTTATTTGTGTATCACTCGGCTGTAGATCCTCAAATCATCTCTGAATTGGTACTGACACTGTCCTTCCTTCTGGTGGGTGGCTACTTTTGTCCCCCATGTCTGTGTATGTTGTAAAGTAGCCACCGTTCCAAGCTCGCTCTTGTGATTAGACTAGAATCTCAATGCAAATTGGTAAACTAAACCTGAGATGTAGTCTATCACAGGAGCGAGATTGGAGTGGTGGCTACTTTACAAAACACACGGGGACCATGGGGAACATGATTTGAGGATCTACAGCTGAGTGATATACAAATAAGATACGTTGTTGTTTATAGTTAAGGTACTTGAATGCATTTTTAAGGTTTAAAGGAGAACTATGGGGTTAGGGTTTTAGTTCTCAGGGTAACGGGAGAACACAAACTAGTGTCTTCCCGTCACCCTAAGCTCAGTACACCGCGAGCTACAACTCGCGGTATACTGAGACGCCACAGCTGAAGTGGATCCTGACAATTATGCCGGGATCTGCCCAGCTCCGTGAGTGACAGCTGGCTCTGCCTATCTAGAGGCAGAGCCAGCTGTACCCGCCCCCTCCCCCGTCCGTTCCGCCAGTCAGCGCAGAGGGCCGTGGCGGGATCGAGAAGTGAGCAAATGCCGGTATGTGTTCGCTCACTTCCCGATCTACTGAGCCGACCTGTGACAGTCTCCTTGTCACAGGTCGGCTAGAACTATGAGGTGAGTGAAAAACCCTCGCCTCATGGTTTTCTAACTCCTGAGTTTAGTGGCACTTTAAGACTTAGAATGTTGGTATATTGCACATTTCCACAACAGAATATCCACATGCACATATACTATTCATCCTTCAACACTTCTAATCTTCTAACATTGCTTAAAGTGGAATTCTATCTTACCTACTGAGGGAATTTTAAGTTTATCTAAAGCCAAAACTTTTCTCATTTTGAATTGAGTAGGGGAGGCTAAAACTGCTGTCTGTGTTTTTTGTTTTTTTTTAAATGGAAATTTCCTGTCCTGTAGACTCAGCAGGAAGTGTGAAAGAAATACCCTCTTAGTGGTCACAGGAATAAGTATCCCCATTGGAAGATCCCCATTGGTGGCAACTCAACATTTTGGATTTACCCTCTGTTTCATTCCCAGTGACCTTGGTGACCAGGACAATTATAGAGGATGAATTTCCACAACATGACACAGACAGCAAATAAAACCTTGCAGTGTTCAGATGTGTCCCCTGCACTCATTACAGCAGTCGGGACCTTTTTAGTAATGGTTGTGCGTGTAGTGATAGCCTCGGATGGCGCCGTGCACATCATGCATGTAGAAAGTGAAGATCACCAGTACTCATAGAACAACGTTGAATCATAGTGATTTTGTTTGAAGAAAAACGTTAAATGTATTAATCAGCCAAAATTTCAGGGCCATGCAGGGTCCCTTCCTCAGTCACTATGTAGCCTTGAGGAAGGAACCTTGAGTGGCCTCGAAACGTTGGCTGATTAATACATGTGACATTTTTCTTCAATAAATTACTAAGATTCAATGTTGTTCTGTGAGTGCTGGTGATCTTCACTTTCTACATGCTTGCTGTGCACAGCGCCATCCGTGGCTATCACTAAAAGCACAACCATTGCTAAAGGTCCTGACTGCTGTAATGAGTGCAGGGGACACATGTGAACACTACAAGGTTTTTATTGCTGTCTGTGTCACGTTATAGAAATTTGTCCTGATCACTAATGTCACTGGGAGTAAATCCAAAATGTTGAGTTGCCACCAGAACTAGAGTAGAAGAGGGCTCTTCCAATGGGGATACTTATTCCTGTGACCACTAAGAGGGTGTTTCTTTCTCCCTGTCCTGTAGACTCAGCAGGAAGTTGGTTTCCATAAAGAGCCAGATGGTTTAAAAAAAAAAAAAAGGCAAAAAAAGGGACAGCAGTTTAGCCTCCCATCCTCAATTCAAAATTAAAGTTTTGGCTTTTTGATATACTTAAAATTCCCTCTGTGGTTTTCTTCTGGCATTCTTCCTGGCACCCCAGCGATTGATTGCACAGTCAGGTTTGGAATCCTGCGACCACTGAGAGGACGTCTCCAGGACACATCTTATCACTGAACACCATATTTCCACGTGGATGGATCCACAAGGGGGTATAACCTCTGAAGGTCACTATGTTGCCCTGAGGATGGGACACTGAGTGGCCCCAAAATGTTGGCTGATTAAGGGCCTGTTCACACCATATGCAGTTGTGATGCAGTCCGTTTATTTCAACTGCGCAGTTAAAATACATCCCACTGCTTTCCTATGGGCTTTCTTGTGCTAATTCACACCATTGCAGTTAATTCAACTGCAGTCAGAAAAAGTACTGCTTGTCCTACTTTAACTGCATCAAAACTCATCAAACGCGGTGCAAACGCAAGACATAAAAAAAAAGAATGGCTAAAGTCAAAACTAGCACCATGCCAGCCAACAAAGAAAGCATGACTGAGCTCCCAAAGGAACAAAACAAACATAGGAAATGTGCCACCAGAACTAGAGTAGAAGAGGGCTCTTCCAATGGGGATACTTATTCCTGTGACCACTAAGAGGGTGTTTCTTTCTCCCTGTCCTGTAGACTCAGCAGGAAGTTGGTTTCCATAAAGAGCCAGATGGTTTAAAAAAAAAAAAAAGGCAAAAAAAGGGACAGCAGTTTAGCCTCCCATCCTCAATTCAAAATTAAAGTTTTGGCTTTTTGATATACTTAAAATTCCCTCTGTGGTTTTCTTCTGGCATTCTTCCTGGCACCCCAGCGATTGATTGCACAGTCAGGTTTGGAATCCTGCGACCACTGAGAGGACGTCTCCAGGACACATCTTATCACTGAACACCATATTTCCACGTGGATGGATCCACAAGGGGGTATAACCTCTGAAGGTCACTATGTTGCCCTGAGGATGGGACACTGAGTGGCCCCAAAATGTTGGCTGATTAAGGGCCTGTTCACACCATATGCAGTTGTGATGCAGTCCGTTTATTTCAACTGCGCAGTTAAAATACATCCCACTGCTTTCCTATGGGCTTTCTTGTGCTAATTCACACCATTGCAGTTAATTCAACTGCAGTCAGAAAAAGTACTGCTTGTCCTACTTTAACTGCATCAAAACTCATCAAACGCGGTGCAAACGCAAGACATAAAAAAAAAGAATGGCTAAAGTCAAAACTAGCACCATGCCAGCCAACAAAGAAAGCATGACTG